TGAGGGTATGGACGGGGCTGGCAGAAACCTGCAGAGCCTTCGTCATCCGCTCCCCCAGGGCCCCTGTAAGGCCTCCCTGATCCCTGCCAGACCCTTCTATAAACAGGTGGGTGTGGCCACTTGCTTCCTTTGTCCCAGGCCAGGGTGCCTGGCGCTGCTGACATAGGGGGCTCTGAGGGCCCCAGCTTTTGGTTCTCTTTCCTGAGGCCCCATGTCAGCAGCAGCTCCAGAACTTCTCCTTGCTACCCTGCTCACCCCTTGGACACTGCTGGCTCTGGTCCTCTCCCCATCTCCCCTAGCCCTCCTCCAGGACCCACTCTCTGGCGGGGAGGCAGCCCCTAGAATGGGTACTCATGCCCCGTATTCAGCTCCCTCGCCCAGAACAAGCCCTCCTTCCTATGGCAGCACTTCCCATTGCCTTAAGGTCAGCTCCTCAATCTGGGTCCCCGGGAGCCACATCTCGGGGGGGCCCCTCGCATTCAGACTCAGCTGAGTGTCTCATCTGCTCATCCTCCCATCTCTCCAGCCACTTGGCCAGAAGCCAGGCTGCACCCTAGATCCCCAACATCCAGCCCTGTTCCCTGGCCCAAGTACCTCTCCAACCACCCCCTCCTTCACCCTCACGGCCTCTGTCTTGTTGTTCATGTAAATGTTCTTGAAGTCCACAAACCCTAAGTCTAAAATCGGTGAATTTTCAGCAAATTACACACCACTTAACCAGCACCAGATCAAGAAACAATAACCAGCCCAGGCGTAGTAGCGCATGCCTGTAATCTTAGCACTTTGGGAGGCCAAGGCAGGTGGATCCCTTGAGGCCAGGAATTTGAGACCAGCCCAGGCAACATGGCGAAATACCGACTCTACAAATAAAGTTAAAAATTAGCTGGGCGGGTGTGGTGGTCCATGACTGTAGTCCCAGCTACTTAAGAGGCTGAGGTGGGAGGATCTCTTGAGCCCAGGAATTTGAGGCTGCAGAGAGCCATGATTGCACCACCACACCCCAGCCTGGGTGGTGGTGCAGTGGCACCATCTCGGCTTGCTGCTACTTTCACTTTCTGGGTTCAAGCAATTCTTGTGCCTCAGCCTCCCAAGTAGCTGGAATTACAGACACGCGCCACCACGCCCAGCTGATTTTTGTATTTTTAGTAGAGATGGAGTTTCACCATGTTTGCCAGGTTGGTCTTGAATTCCTAACCTTAAGTGATCTGCCCGCCTTGGCCTCCCAAAGTGCTGGGATTACAGGCGTGAGCCACCGCGCCTGGCGTCAGCCCAGCCTCTTAATGCAACTGCTGTAAATGAGCCAGGATCCAGCTGGCCAGAAATAAGAGTAGCATCCTAGAGAACACAGAGGCAGTGAGGACAGGCACAGGCAGGGCAGAGGTAACAGGAGAAAGGCCAGAAGGTGCCCACTACCACCACACCACCCAGCCAGGTGAGGACCCCAGCCTCTGCCCATCATGGTGCTGTGCTCTTGCACCTCTGGGCTGGGAGCAACAGGCCTAAGTCCCGAAGATCCTCTGACCCTCCCTCCTGGCCTCCGACCCCTGGCCAGAGTTGTATGTCTCCTCTTTTGCAAAGAGATGGGTGGTGCCCCCTCCCAGCATGGTTGTAATGATCAAATGAGCCAGTCCAGCCCAGCCCCTGGCACAGAGCACGTTCTCTACGACACAGAGTGGTGTTATTATCACACCTCCACTTTCCACGCGGAGAAACAGAGGCTCAGCAAGTAGGTGGTGGTGCTGGGATTTGAACCCAGACCCGTGTTCTGTGCGCACGGTAGGAAGGAGGCTGGCTGGGGAGCCAGGAAGGGGTCCAGTGCCTGCCTCGAGTGGCAGCTGCCATTCTTCACCTCCCTGTGCCAACAGCCACAGACCAGAGTCTAATGTCCCCTTCCGAGCCCCCACAGCTACCAGAGGAGTCTGGCTCCTGCCCTCTGCCTTGGGGGATTCCAGAGAGACCTTGCACTTCGCTCTGCCCCTGCCTAACAGAGCTGGCTGTCGCCTGAGGCCCTGGTTCCTCAGGCTGCCCCCGCCTCAGGAGCAGGAGCCAGAACAGTTGTTGGGCAACTGAGTTCTGGGAAAGGAGGGAGGGGCGCTCGCTCTGGCGGAAACCTGCCCTGGGGAAATGTAATCAGATCCTCAGAGCAGCGGTTTGTTCCTGGTTTGTTTCTAGTGGGTGTATTCACAGACGTTTTTGGCCAGGACTGAGAAAGATGTGGACCCATCCTTTACTGGGGGCGGGGGGCACTGCATGGCCTGGGGCTGGCATCCTGTCGGTTATTTACGAATCTTCCCAGCGGGCCAGGCACAGGCAAGCAGGGAGTCGTTTCCCCAGCAGCTCTAGGGAAGGAAAATAATTCCGCCTGGCTGGCGTATCAATATTCAACTTCTTGTTTAAATATTAAATTGTAATGTCCTCCATCTGAGCGCCTAACAGAGATCGGGGATGAGTGAGCCCTGTGTTCCTGAAGTCTGGTTTCATGGTTCACTTGTTCCTAATTCTCTGCTTGTTCTGACTTGGATCAGCCCAGTGCAAGGCATGCTCGGAATTCCGCTGTGAGTTCGGGGGTCAGGGTGGGACCAGGCTTCAGGCCCTGATCACAGGCCCTGGACTCAGGTGTGATCTGTGCTGCGGTGGGGGGTGTGGGGTCGGGGGGAGAAGCATCCCCTTCCAGGGCGGGTGCAGCAGCAGCAGCAGGAAACCAGGGGGAGGTGAGACGTGAGCTTGGAGGGAGACACTCCTCCCAGCTGTAGTCACCGCCAAAAATCAGAACCTGGCCCCGGCCCCACCAACTTCCAAGGAGAGAAGCGAGACCAGGCCGGGTGCAGTGGCTCATGCCTATAATGCCAGCACTTTGGGAGGCCAAGGTAGGCAGATCACCTGAGGTCAGGAGTTCAAGACCAGCCTGGCCAACACGGTGAAATCCCATCTCTACAAAAATATAAAAATTAGATCAGGCGCAGTGGCTCATGCCTATAATCCCAGAACTTTGGGAGGCCAAGCCAGGCAGATCACCTGAGGTCGGGAGTTTGAGATCAGCCTGACTGACCAACATGGAGAAACCCTGTCTCTACTAAAAATACAAAATTAGCTGGGTGTAGTGACACACACCTGTAATCCCAGCTACTCGGGAGGCTGGGGCAGAAGAATCGCTTGAACCCGGGAGGCAGAGGTTGCGGTGAGCCGAGATCACGCCATTGCACTCCAGCCTGGGCGACAAGAGTCAAACTCCACCTCAAAAAAAAAAAAAAAAAGAGATTGTTTCTGTCTCGCATTACAATCCCAAGGTGAGGGCTCCAAGGCTACTGGGGCCACTCTGCCACCCCCAAAATGTGCCCTGCAAAACCTTTGCTCCAGTTGCTGCCACACGCCAGCCAGTGGGAAGCAGGGAAGAGTGCCCAAAGCAGATGTCTTTAAGATCATACATGAGTTGCAGGCATCACTCCTGCTCACATCCCATTTGGCCTGGATTAGTCACATTGGCCACAGCCAGCTGCCAAGGGGAAGTGATATGTCTGCCTTGAACTCAGTGTGTTCTATTCTAAGGACCACGGAAGAAAAGACTCTCGAGGACAGTAGATAGCATCTAACACACGAGACAAGGAGTATAGGATAGGCGCCTCCAAGGCTGGTTAACTCAGCAGCTCCTTGAGGTCTTACATCTTCAAGATGCAAGTGTGGTGACTTTTGATCTCAGACTTGTCCCCTCATGCCCCAAAATGGCTGCCATTGCTGTTGGAGCATTACACCCTTATGCCAAACGCAGAAAGAAAATGTTGCTGTTCTGCCTATGGAAATTTTCACAGAGCGCCTTTTTCAGCTGACTTGCCCTCTTCATTGGCCAGAATAGCATTACATGCCCATTTCCACTCTAATTACTAGGAGGGACTGGAATGACTAGGACTGGCTTAGACAGGAGATTCCATCCCAGTCCTAGAGAGGCCCACTTCCTCTACAGGCCTGAGTTACCTGAGGGTCGAGAAAATTGGGGTTTCCTTACAAGAAGAAAGGGGGAGGAGAATGGCTATGGGAATAGGAAGTCAACAGCATCGTCCTCATGGAATTGCACTTCTAGCCCACCTCTCTGCCCTAGAGCATTTATGGCCACCCATAATTTCCTTTTTTTTTTTTATTTTGAGACGAGCTCGCTCTGTCGGCTCGGCTGAGGTGCAGTGGCGTCTCGGCTCCACTGCCAGCTCCGCCTCCCGGGTTTACGCCTTCTCCTCTGCCTCAGGCCTCCCAGAGTAGCTGGGACTACAGGAGCGCACCACCTCACCGCAGGTTTTGTATTTTTCAGTAGAGACGGGTTTCACTGTGTTCGCCAGGATGGTCGTCGATCTCCTGACCTCATGATCCGCCCGTCTCGGCCTCCAAAGGCCTGGGATTAACAGGCTTGAGCCACTGCGCCCGGCCCCCCCCTTTTTTTTTTTTTTTTTTGAGATGAAAATCTCAGTCCTGTCACCCATGCTGTAGTGCAGTGGTGTGATTTCCAGCTCACGGCAACCTCCGCCTCCCGGGTTCAAGCAGTTCTGCCTCTGCCTCCTGAGTAGCTGGGGAAGTATAGCGCCCCCCATCACGCCTGGCTAGTTTGTGTATTTTTAGTAGAGATGGGGTTTCACCATATTGGTCAGACTGGTCTTGAACTCCTGACCTTATGATCTGCCCGCCTTGGTCTCCCAAAGTGCTGGGGTTACAGGCATGAGCCACCACGCCAGGCCTTTTTTTTTGAGATGGAGTCTTGCTCTTGTCACCCAGGCTGAAGCACAGCGGTGCGATCTCAGCTCACTACAACCTTTGCTTCCCAGGTTCAAACGTTTCTCCTGCCTCAGCCTCCCAAGTAGCTGGGATTACAGGCGCCCACCACCATGCCTGGCTAATTTTTGTATTTTTAGTAGAGACAGGGTTTCACCATACTGGCCAGGCTGGACTTGAACTCCTGACCTCATGCTGGCACCGAGTAGGCACTCACTGTATAATGGTCAAATGACTAAACAATGCTGGACTGTAAAAGGTCATCTCGTTTGTTTACATACATATATAGTTAGTATATGATTTGTATTATTTAAGTAAAACCTGCTCATTTGAAATGCTGCTGTGGCTGGAGAAATCACTGACTTAACAACCCTTTGTATTTATCAAAAACAAAACTTGGGCCAGGTGCAGTGGCTCACCCGAGGTCAGGAGTTCAAGAAAAAAAAAAAGAAAGAAAACAACACATAATCTGCTCTTGAATACCCCTAAAGAGCCAGGAAGCTCACCTCCTTCCCATGCTGCCCGAGACGGTCTGTGGGCAGAAAACGGAGGCCAATGAATGCCTCCCCCTTCAGCTGCCAAACAGCAGCCCGCTGGGCCCCAGTGCTCCTGGCAGCACCCCCAGTCCTGGTGGGGAGCTCTCCTCCAGCCTGGTGGGAACGCCTAGGCAGCTTCCACAATGCGAACCAGCTGGGGTCTTGCCCTGTGGGGATCAGATATTCCTATGGCCCAGTCCTGGAGCCGCCCACACAGTACTTCAGGACCCTCCCGGGATTTCAGCTAGGCATCCAGGTGGAGGCCAGAGGAACCCCACAGGCCCTCACAGCTCTCTCAGTGGACCCCTCCCTGGATGGGTGGTGGGCTCCTCAGTGTCCACATTTGCTCCCATTTATGTTAAACAGATTCAGGCTTGTCATCGGGGGGTGTGCTGGTGGGACCCAACCTCGGGTGTTTGCGAGCCTTGAAAAAGGAAGAGGGAAAAACAAGCTCCCTTCATTCCCCGCTCCATCACCAGGGACGCCGGGGCTAGGAGCCAGGTCCCAGGCTCTCCGTGCCGGGCAGGTTGTGAGACCTCGGCGAAGCCACCACCTGTCCACCCAGTGGCCTCCCCATCAGAAGAATGGAGCGGAGGAGGCTGTGAGCCTGAACGCACTTCACCAATCACAAGGCCCGAGGTGACAGTGGGTCACTTTTATTCTATTGATTATTCTCCTGTTTATAATGGGGAGGGGGTTTCTTTAAAATGCTTCTCCTGAGCCTAAAGAGCCTCCCCACCCAGCCCCTGTCAGAGGGAAGGGGCAGAGCATACGCGCCCCCCTGGCATCTCTGGAGAGGAGGAAGGATGGGGTGGGCAGGAGGGGCTGCCCCTAAGGGGCTCCCCAGGCTGGCACTGCCAGGCCTCTGCCCACTCAGTCCCTGCTGGCCCCTCTGACAGAGGAACCAAAACCAGAAAAGAGAAAAGCTACTCCACACCTGGTCCTTAGGGCTGGGTCTCCCCCATCGCTGCCGCTTTCCTACCAACAGCCTCCTCTCCTCTCTGGGAACCTCGTCCTTCCTTCCCCATCCCCTTAGCACCGGCCTCTGCCCTTGTGGGCACCTCTGCCCCAACTGTCTGGCTTCCTGTGCCACCCGAGGGGTGCCCTGAGGTTCATCCTTCCTGCCTGTTGTCTAGAAGGCCTGGGGCGCTCACTGAGCTCACTCCACAGGCTCTGGCACCACGGGTCAGCCCTGCCTCAAGACAGGACACTGTCCTGGGGGTGTCCACAGCCTCCCACTGGACCTGCTCCCTCAGCTCCTCAACAGCCAGCCTAAGCCCAGTGGCAGCTCAGGCCTCCCTCTCCTGGGCCCCAATCTTGCCTCCCCAGGAAGGGTGGCCAAGTGCCCCCTCCATCAGGAGGGGGTCGGGAAGGTGGCCTCGCAGGCCTCTCACAAGTACATCTTCATGGCCTTGTGTGTCGTGGGGCAGTAGCGGGCATGGAGCTGGGCCAGCAGTGCCCTGGACGTGGCCTCGAACCGCGTGCCCTGGCTCTTCTTGTTCCACACGTGGACAGCATAGGTGGCATTGAACAGCTGTGGCAGCTCCTCGGGGTTGATGTCCTCAAAGTACTTCTTCCAGTCCTGCCAGGGAATGGGGTAGAAGGCCTCGGGGGGCAGGGTGGTGACGCCGCGGCAGGCGTGGCTCTCGGCCAGGCTGCGGATGGAGCACCACTTCTTGAAGACCCGCGTGAGCAGCTGCGGGCCCTGGTGACCCCAGATCCAGCCGTTGTAGTGGTCCACGAAGTCCCGCATGCACAGCGCCATGAACTCGTGCCTGCGCTCAAAGGCCAGGAAGGCGCCGTTGAGGACATAGCGGGACTGGGTGCCCAGCACGTTGGTCAGGTTCCTCAGGTTCTTGAGAACAATGAAGTCGGTGTCCAGGTAGATGCCGCCGAACTTCCACATGAGTGCGATCCTGGAGGCGTCGGAGAGCACGGGGAGCAGGTACGGTTCCCAGCGCCCCTGCACAGCCGCGTACCAGTCGGCCAGGGGTGTGTCCCGGAACAGTTCCTGCAGGTCCAGCGGGAGCATCTGGACATTCGGGAAGCAGCTCAGAAGTGAGATGCCCAGGTGCCGGGGCAGGGAGGCGTTGCCACCTGGAAGCCCTTTCATCAGGACCAGCACGTGGGATTCGGGGTGAGTTCTGGCCGCTGACTCCACGGAGCACATGAACAGGAAGTTGGGGTTGGTCCGGTCTGAAGTCTCCAGGAAGAAGATGTTGCCCGGAGCAGGGCCGTGGGAGGGTAGGGCGGGGGGTGCCAAGGTGGGGCAGGGAATATCTGCTGGCAGGTTATACAGCTGCCCTTGCTCCCTGGGCTCTCCCACAACATGCCAGTAGATCATGATGGAGACGAAAAACGTGAACTTGAAGCCGATGATGAATAGGGTGCAGACCCGCTGCCTTGGGGCACCCCGCAGCAGCCGCAGCAGGAGGTCGGGGGGCTTGGACATGGTCTCCCCAGATCAGACCAGGAGCTTCCAGCAGGAACCGGCTGGTCTGCAAGAGATGAGCACCCCCATCAGGGAGGCCGTTGGCATTCCTGACCCACAGGGAAATGCTTCCTGTGAGCATCAGCCAGAGCCAAGGTTGGCTTCCAAGCCCATGGACTCCCGGGCCCACAGGGGTCAAGGCTTGAACCCCAGCCTGCTGGCTGCTCACCTACGAAATGGGAGCACAGTGGGCCATAGACTGGGGTCTGAGCAGGGTCCCTTCCACTCTCTGTGACACACCTGTAAGCTCCCCCAAGGACCAGGCCAGTGCCACCCATGGTGTGTAACCATTACAGGCCCAGGCCAGAGTCTGGTCCGCATAAGGACTGTCAGAAGTGATGGCTTCACCATGTGACACACAGGGCTCTGTTAGGATTGGCAGCCTGGGATTTGAGGCCCAGCTCAGGCCCGCCTCAGGTCCATGAACCAGGCCTGGGGCTCATCCAAGGACAGGCCACTGAGGGGTCCTGAGTACGTTCAGCATGAGGCCTGGGGCTCTGGCAGGCCCGGGCACTGGCTTGCTAAGGGCTGGCCCAGCAGGTGCACTCACAGGGCACTCGTTCCAGGCACATGGGATGCCTACCGCATCCCAGAGCCCTTTGCTCCAGACACGCAGGGGTCTCTTGGCCCCCTGGCTGCCCAGCCCAGACCCTGGGCTGTGCTTTTCATAGACACAGGTGGGAAAGAAACTGGGAGGTTGTGCCTTAGGCCATGATGCTGACTGGTACTACTGCCCTTAGACCTCTCTTTCTTGGTGATGTGCACTTGGCCAGTGCAGGAACATGCCCAGGTACCTCGCAGGTGGTTGGGGGAGCAGCAGGCTTGGACCATGCTCCTGGGGAAAAGACTGTGTGAACACCTGGGAGGCATGAGACCCCAACTCTGCCTGAACCGGCTGTGTGACCTGGGGCAAGTTACGGAGCTCTCTGAGCTTCAGTCTTCCCACCGGCAGGACAGGACGCTGGAACCCACTAAAGGGTAACATTCATTCGTTCATAATTCTGTAAATACTGGCTGTCCATCCTGTCCATACCAGGTGACTTTCTCAGCATCTCACACATAGGAACATGTGTGGCCCCTTATAACCACCCTATGGCGTGGCAATTACCACCTCCACCCCACAGATGAGGAAATTGAGGCATAGAAGTACAGTACCTTGTGCAGAGTCCCACAGCCAGCAGTGACAGTGCAGGGGTTAGGTCCCAGGCCACCTGGCCAGGGTCCCTGCTCTCATCACTGCACCACCCTGACTGGAAGAAGTGGTTAGCCAATGTACCTGGTGTGTTGGAGGAACTTGGTGCATGCTGACCTGAACTGTATCGATGTTAACAGCCAGCGGGATCACCATTAACTCAGTGACTTCTATGCTCCGTGACAAACTCACACCCCGGCTGGCCCTCAGCAAGCCCAGGGGGCAGTTGCATCGTTTCTACTTTAGGTGCCAGGAAACCTGGGCACGAAGTCAAGGGACTGGGTGCAACCTGGTTGCTAAGGGGAACTGAGAGTCGGTCCCCTTCCAAGGATAGGCAGAAGGTGGGGTGGCAATCTCACACAGGCTGAGAGTGGTACTGGGAGCCTGGGGCTTTGTAACTTAGGCTGGGCCCTTCCCAGGGTAGAGAGCCGGGAACCTCAACGATGTCACTGGCTGGTAACTGACCAGCCTGGGCAGCCCATTGCAAAGAGGTGGGGATCCTGGCAGTCTGCAGGCCTCCGGGAGACACGCCCTGGCTCAGCAGCCGACCTTCTTTGCCAACACGAACACGGCCCTTCCACACACTTGCAGCGGCTGCAAATCCATCTGCAAAAGATGGCAAGAAGAGAGTGAGACAGGTCGGTGGCTCTCAGAGGCCTCGTCCCCCCGGCCACACAGGCAGGTCAGGCCTGGGGCTCATGTGTTCACTGATACATTCACTCGCTCCACCTCTCAGGGGACACTCAGGGAACAGGGGCAGGCCCTGCACTGGTACCTGGGAGAAGGGGAGAATCAGACACAGCCTTTCCCTGAAGGAGTTCTCAGTCTGGTGGGGGCACCATTTAGAAACAGACAAAGAGGCCAGGCGTGGTGGCTCACGCCTATAATTCCAGCACTTTGGGAGGCCGAGGCAGGTGGATCAAAAATACAAAAAAGATTAGCTGGGCATGGTGCGGCGCCTGTAGTCCCAGCTTACCTGGCAGGCTTGAGCGACGGAGAGAATGGCCGGGAACCTGGGGAGGCGGAGTTGCAGGTGAGCGAGATTGCGCCACTGCACTCCAGCACTGGGGCGACAGAGGAGACTCGCCTCAAAAAAAAAAAAAAAAGGGGCCAGGCACGATGGCTCAAGCCTGGTAATCAGGCACTTTGGGAGGCCG